AACTCCTTCTGCTTGTTTATTGTTCTTTACTGTTGTTGTCTCTGAGCTGCTCACATCCTTGTACTGAAGAGGAAAAGTTCTGAATTATACCTCTGTTGGGTGTAGAGGAGGAAGGCACCTTCCTAACCCAACACTGATCATTGATAAACATCTGCAAACTGAAAGTAAATATGGGAACACTGTCAGGTTCCTCCACTGTATTTCCATCCTTTAATCTTTTGCTGACCTTTCCCCAATACCCTGCTCTGGGAACCAAAGACAAGTCTCTTGCACAAAGTTTAAAAATTCTTGTAGCTCCCTTCATTTTCAGCATAGCTTTGAGAGTCTGCAATACAGATCTCACTCTGCTGATTTACACTGTCACATGTTTGCTTGTTTGCTAGTCTAGGGCTTGCACTCAGAGCCTGGGTGCTGTCCCTGGGCTTCATTTGCTCCAGGCTAGTGCTTTACCACTTGAGCCACAGTGCTACTTCTGGTCTTTTCTGTTTATGTGGTACTGAGGAATGGAACCCAGGGCTTCATGCATGCTAGGCAAGCACTCTACCACTAAGCTACCTTTCCAGCCCATTTTGTCCCATTCTATCTGGCTATAATCCCTCTCGTATATCAGACCCCTACAGAGAGCATCTCCTTTACCGTAAGCCAGAGACATTTCCTCATACCCAGATTCGGGTCCCTGTTCAGGCGCCACTTGCCTCAGACCAGCTGTGTCAAGCTGTTTCTCTCTCTCTAAAGAAAGTTGGGACCAGATGGACTGTCAGTATCCAGAAATCTGGGAGACTGAAGCATCCCAAATTCTGGTTCAGTGCATTTATTTATACAGGGTTTTTGCACAAGGAAGAGCAGGGACAGGTCAAGATGTTTGTGACAAGTTGCTTTCAGCAGGTACCAGCAGCTTCAGCAATAATAGGAAACAGAAGGCCTGCAGTTAGAGCTAGCTGAACTCAATGTCTAGCTTAAAGGTGGAGATGAGAAAAACACCCTCTTTCTATGCCTCCCAACCCAATCATCTGTGGCTGCTTCAGGCCATCACACAGGGTCAACAAGGCTCAGGACTGTTGCTCCCTCATATCTCTGGCTCCCAACACAGGATGGAAATAATGGAAAATGCCTTCTGGGTGGGGAGGTGGAGTCATCAATAGTACTGTTGCCCTGTCTTGCAGACTTCCAAGTAATCCCAAGTTCCCAGGCTCTCTTTTTCTCTTTTGCTTCTGACCAAAGATTTTAGCCTTTCCCTAGCAGCCTAACAATCAGACTTGGATGTCACCCTCCCCTCCCCCCCCCCCCCCCCCACACACACACACCATGTTCTTTCTCCTATCTTTCAATAGTATCTGAGGAAGAATTGGAAGCAAAGTAATATGCCTGGCCTTGAATCCGAAACCCTGTTTTCTTTTCTAGTTGTTCCCATATGGCCAGTATTCAGATTGACAAGGCCCTTGGAAATACCTGACAAATGATCAAAGACCGTGGAAATCTAAGAACTAAATATTCATTACAAAGAGAAGGAGGGAACCGAAGACCCTGTCTGAAAGGAAATGTACTCATTACAAAATCGTAATCCCTCTGTATATCACCTCTAGAATAAAGTAAATTGACAAAAAAAAATGTTATTACATATCACAGTCAGATCTCAACCACAGAGTTTCCATGTTTACCTTCGTTTTCTGCTTCAAAAGCCCTTGCCTGGGTTTGGAGGTATGGCTTGGTTGGCACTAGCCAATGAATAAAATTGGCAGGTGCTGAGTTCACGTCCCAAGCAACAACCTACAGAAAAAAGCGCTGAGCTCAGTGCCCTCAGTGGCAGGGAAATTGAGGAAGGAGAGTGAATTACTTCAAGAAAGTAAGCATTGACTTTGCATGGGTTAGACTTTCAGACTGGGGAGCTGTCTGGCAACCCAAGGAAGAGGGCTTATGGCAGGGAAGATTCTTTTTTTTTTTTTTTTTTTTTTTTGGGGGGGGGGTCCGGTTGTGGGGCTTGAATTCTGGGCCTGGGCGCTGTCCCTCAGCTCTTCAGCTCAAGGCTAGCACTCTACCACTTGAGCCACAGCGCCACTTCTGGCCTTTTTCTTTTTGCTTATGTGGTGCTGAGGAATCGAACCCAGGGCCTCATGCATGCAAGGCAAGCGCTCTACCACTGAGCCACCTTCCCAGCCCCAGCAGGGAAGATTCTTATGGAGCATTTCCTCCAGCCCAAGCCAGCTTTCTCCACTGCACATGCACTCTCCTCGTGTTTCCCTTAGTTCTTTCATCAACTCACACAACAATCTTAAAGATCAACTTGCATCTGGACCTTCTTTCCTTGACCTCTAATTCTGTTTTGTATGTGTGTGGTACATAGAATATAAATCTCAGGAGCTTTCCTCCTGGCCTGGCTTTAAACCTCGATCCTCAGATCTCAGCCTCCTGAGTAGCTAGAGTGACAGGTGTGAGTCCCCAGTGCCCAGTGACATCCTTGTTTTTATGACTCTGAAATGATACAGGGAGGGCTGGGAAGGTGGCTCAGTGGTAGAGCGCTTGCCTTGCATGCATGAGGCCCTGGGTTCGATTCCCCAGCACCACATAGGCAAAAAGAAAAAAAGCCAGAAGTGGCACTGTGGCTCAAGTGGTAGAGCGCTAGCCTTGAGCTGAAGAGCTGAGGGACAGCGCCCAGGCCCAGAGTTCAGGCCCCATGACCAGACCCCCCCCACCCCCCACCCAAAAAAAAGAAATTTCATTCTTTTCTGAAATGATACAGGGAGATAAGGAGTCTTGGACTCTGCTTGGTCTCTCTACTAGACTATACTTGACATAGCTTTTGTCAAGTGACTTGGGGGACCTGAGGGTATAGCTAATGCTTGCCTAGTATACCAAAGGCCCTGAGTTCAGTCTGTAGCACTCGAGGGGATGAGATGGGAAGAAGATTTATAATACTTGTGACATTTGCAGTATTTTCCAATGTAGTTGGGGAGATAAATATCCAAGTAGTCAAAAATACTGTAATTGTGGCAGGTACCGGTTGCTCATGCCTGTAATCCTAGATTCTCAGGAGGCTGAGATCTGAGGATCTTGGTTCAAAGCCAGCGCAGGCAGGAGAGTCCATGAGACTCTTATCTCCAATTAACCACCAGAAAACCTGAAGTGGTGCTGTAGTTTAAGTGGTAGAGCACTTGCCTTGAGCTGAAGAGCTCAGGGACAATGCCCAGGCCCAGAGTTCAAAACCCATGACTGACAGAAAAAAAAAAAAGGGAAGAAAGAGAAAATGTGCAAGTCAGTATAGAGATTGTGAGGAGTTGGGGATCCTAATTTTAAAAGATGATCTGAAAAACTCCCTTGAAGGTGGGGTTAAAGGTGCTCTGAATGTTTCCAGAAGCAGAAGACCCCAGCAGATTCCAGAACAGAGAGGAAATGGGGAAGAAAGAAAAGCAGGGAGAGGAAGGGGCGGGGACTGAGAACAACAGGCAGCTGTCAATGTTCTCACCTTATTCAGATCCACAGCTTCATTTTATTGTTTTGTTTTGTTTTTTTTGGGTCGTGGGGCCTGAACTCTGGGCCTGGGCGCTGTCCCTCAGCTCTTCAGCTCAAGGCTAGCACTCTACCACTTGAGCCACAGCGCCACTTCCAGCTTTTCTTTTTGCTTATGTGGTGCTAAGGAATCGAACCCAGGGCCTCAGGCATGCAAGGCAAGCGCTCTGCCACTGAGCCACCTTCCCAGCCCCCCACAGCTTCATTTTAGTGTTGTTATTGTTATTGTTGTTGTTTATTAGTGTGTGTATGTATGTGTGTGTGTGTGCTAGTACCAGTGCCTGAATTTAGGGTTTCACACTTGCTCAGCTTTCTTGCTCCCAGACAAGTGCTCTACTACTTCAGCCACCCCTCTAGCCTGCTTTGTGCTGGTTCGTCCTGCAGATTTTTCATCCTGCAGATTTTTCATCCTGGCTGGCTTTGAACTGCAATCCTCCAGATATCAGCTTCCTGTGTAGCTAGGATTACAGTCATGAATCACTGGTGCCCAAGGTAATTAGTTGTATTTATTTATTTATGCCACTCTGAGATTCAAACCTAAAGTCATGCATGCTAGACACTGAGCTACAGCCTAGATGCACACACACACACACACACACACACACACACACACACACACACACACACACCATAATTGGCCTTGCGATAGAATTGTTTTATAGTACTTTTCAACACCAATGTGCAGGAGTGAACAGTACAGCTTAAATGAAGCTTTGAGAAACTTGCTTGTTTACAGCACTGTTTTCCTGCCCCCCCCCCCCCCAAAAGACCCAGGATTTACCCAATTCATGTATGGGGTTGATCTCTACCTTGTACTCCATAGCCCCATGATAACAGAAATAGTACTGGGATTTCCAGAAACATCTTGTTCCACTTGTTCCGCTTGCCCTCTCTGGCTGCTGCGTGCAGACACTTAAACGACCTACCCAGAGCTAGACTGAAAAAGAGAAGAAAACACGGCCCAAGTGAATGGCTGTCTGCAGGCTTCACGTTACTCCTGGGATTGCCCTTGGGTGTCACTGATAAAATCCCACAGCGATCAGGGCGGATGATGCCCCAGACAGTGCTGGCTGAGGAAATGACAGCCCTGGCCGCACACTGTCTAGGGCTAGGCTCCTCTGATGTGGACAGGGCCAGCCCTGTAGGAGTTCCAGGGCCCGGCCCCTGGCTGGGGCCCCCGGCCTATTTCTGATCGCTCTCTCTCCAAGGCCTTGGAGTGTGTCACCGCTGTCCCAGAGTGGCCGCCCTGGCGCGTACATGCTCCCCGGCCCGGCCCGCGTGCACCGCCTGGGCACCGCCTGGGCACGGTGGGCCTCGGGCGCCGGGGTGGCTCGGGCGGGCCGGTGCGCTCTCCCTCTGTGCACTGGACTCCGCCGCCGAGGGCTGGAGTTTAATCACTCACAAACAGTGTCCGGCTTCCTGTCCTCATCCACCCCCACCCCCCGCCCCGTTTCCCTGGCCCCTCCCTCTCCCCAGCCCGCTCCGCCCGCCGGCTCCCCCTCCCCCCATCCCTCGGGTCCAGGGATGGGGGGGCGGTGAGGCAGGCACAGCCCCCCGCCCCCATGGCCGCCCGTCGGAGCCAGAGGCGGAGGGGGCGCCGGGGGGAGCCTGGCACCGCCCTGCTGGCCCCACTCGTGCTGGGCCTGGGCCTGGCGCTGGCCTGCCTTGGCCTCCTGCTGGCTATGGTCAGCCTGGGGAGCCGGGCATCGCTCTCAGGCCAGGTGAGGCCCTCAGCACACCCCTTCCCGGGCACATTTGGAGCAGCAGATGGGGGCCGGGTGGGCAGAGGGCCAGGGGACTGGCGGATGAGCAGAGGACAAGAAGTCAGGTGGAGGACAGGGTGACGCTGCCTTCTTCCCAGCAGGAGCCTTCCCAGGAGGAGCTGGTGGCTGAGGAAGATCTGGAGCCCCCGGTGAGTAGGTGTGGATGCCATGTGCCAGGTGTGGGTAGGGGAAAGCTGTGGCAGCGCTGGGGCCGCAGGGTGTGCTGGCTGCCTCCGCTGTATGCAGCAGCATGTGTGTGTGGCTGTGGGCTGTGTGTGCATGAAGTTTTGCACACTGGGGTGTGTGTTTCTGTGAGGGTAGAGGGTGCACCAGCATGCATGGCATGTGTGTGTGTGTGTGTGTGTGAGAGAGAGAGAGAGAGAGAGAGAGAGAGGGTGTGGAGGGGGGAGTTCCCGAGTTGTACCATCTGATAGGAAGCATTGATTGGCTGTGGGTGAAGTGGGGTTGCTAGGAACCTGCCACAAGGAGGTGGATGCTGTTGTGTGAGGGGTGTGTACCACTTGTGCATGCTGACTGTGGACAGGTGTGCAACACATCAGCAGAGTGCAGGGTCTATGCTGAAGAAGGATGGAGGCCTGGGAAGGTTTGACTGGTCTCCAGAACAGGCTGAAAACTAGGCCTACACACTTTATCTACACGCTTGATTGATCCGTCCCTTGGACTTTTTCTTTCTTTTCGTGTGTGTGTGTGTGTGTGTGTGTGTGTGTGTGTGTGTGTGTGTGTGTACACGAATACTGGGGCTTGAACTCAGATGCCTGTCCCTTAGCTTTTTTGCTCAAGGCTGGTACTCTACCACTTGAGCTACAGTTCTATTCCAACCTTTTGATGGTTATTCAGAAGTGAATTTGGAGGGTAATTGGAGTCTCCTAGACTTTCTGCTGGAGCTGTCTTTGAACTGAAATCCTTAGATCTCAGCCTTCTGAGTAGCTAGGATTACAGGCGTGAGCCACTAGCACCTGGTGTTCCCTTGGACTTTCGTGACTGGTGGCTCTTCTGACAGGCCCTGCTGGGCTCCGTCCTGTCTCTGAGAAGCCCTGGTTGAGTCCTGATCTTAATTCCCCTAGGAACTGAATTCCCAGACAGACACAAGCCAGGATGTCATGCCTTTCCTGAAACGTCTCGTCCGGCCCCGCCGAAGTGGTGAGCATGCCTCTCTCTCATCCTCAGGAGTGACAAGTGATCAGTCTTGCTGGTCACTTCATAAAAGCCCTCTGAAGTGGACAGAGTAAAAACCATTGTCTTCACACAGAAAGAGGCACAGAGTACGAAATGAGTCATGCAGCTAACCAGTTAAGACTGGAACCTGAGGATGATAACCCTCCCTTGAGAAGCTCCTTTTGTCACATGAAACTGCTTCCCACGGATCATCCCCCAAATGGGTTAGGATGACCTCTGGAGTCCTCATGAGGACAAAGTGGGGGAGTCAGAGGCCTGGGCCTCGGTAAGCAAAGACATTTATGACTGGCATGGTCATATGACCATGTATTCATGTTTGCATGAGTGGGACTATTTTGGCCTAAGCCTGTTATCTCTGTGCGATTTATTTATTTATTTGGTGTAGGTCCTGAGCTTTTTTTTTTCTTTTGCTCAGGGCTGGGACTCTACCACTTGAGCCACAGTACCGCTTTTGGCTTTTTGCTAGTTAATTGGAGATAAGAATCTAGGGCTAGCTTCAAACCATGTTCCTTAGATCTTAGCCTTCTGAGTAGATAGGATTGATTACAGGCTTGAGCCACCGGTACCAGCTAAGGGCTTGGCTTCTTAGCTAGGAGACTTGGGCGAAACTAAGGATGCCAGGCCAAAGACTGGTTCTTGCCCCCCCCCCCCCCCCCCCGCCTCCCCTTGGAAAGCTCTGTTCTACTCATCTGTCTTTCCTTGATTTTTCAGCCCCTAAAGGCCGGAAAATTCGGGCTCGCAGAGTGATTGCAGCCCACTACGAAGGTGGGTGATAGGTGAGCATGCGCAGAGGAGGGGTGGCACGGACGGGGGTGAGGCAGGTCTCCTTCATCCTTCCCTGTGTCTTACAGTTCATCCACAACCGGGACAAGATGGAGCACAGGCGGGTGAGACCCCATCTCTACCTCTGATATCTCCCGTGGCCCCCACAGCAGATTTCCCAATCCCCTCCCCTGCCTTCCACTGAGGAATCCCAGAAGGCAACTCCTAAAAGCCTCAGTGCCTCATTCGTTAAGTTCTCATCAAGCATGGGACCTTAGAAGACCCTTCCCTTCACAGCACCCAATCCAGTGACACACCACACCAGTGGCCCTAGCTTTCTCCTTCAGTGCTGTGTTCTCCAAGAAGCAGCCATGATTCCTTCCTTTTCTTTCCTGTCTGAACTCCATGTGTTTTCCTGCCCTGATCAATAATCCTCCAAACACATGTAGTCCTTGCTCAGCTTTTCCATTCCTACCCCATGACCTCTGAACTTCAAACCCAGCTCCGGCCCCATCCCCATTCCTCACTCCCCCCCCCCCCCCTCCACTCTGTCAGGCTTCTGCTGCTAAAGCCTCTACTTTATTATCCCATCATGCCTCTCTTTAGCCTCCAGCTGCTCTGGGGTCTGATCTCTACCCCACTTTCTGGCATCCACTTATGCATTGTCCATGCCTGTGGGGCTGACGAGCCTAGGTCCCAGTGTACCTTTTCTGGACTTTGAACGTATTAGTCCCTCCTCTGGAGTGCCCTTTCATTGTGAAAGCCAGGAACCAAGTCTTGAGAGTGGCTTGGTCTGGGATGTTAGCAGCAGATGGAGAGAAGTAGACGGGTTGATTGTGGCTTACTTGTGGGTTGGTTTTCAAGAACAAGAGAAAGAAGCTGGGTGCCAGTGGATCATGCCTGTAATTCTAGCTACTCAGGAGGCTGAGATCTGAGGATTGAGGTTCAAGGCCAGGCCAGGCAAAAAAGTCCATGAGACTCTTATCTCCAAGTAACTACCAGAAAACCAAAAGTGGTACTGTGGCTGAAGTGGTAGAGAGCTGGCCTTGAGCTAAAGAGCTCACAGATAGTGCCCAGGCCCAGAGTTTAAGCCCCATGACACACACACACACACACACACACACACACACACACACAAATGAATAAGAGAAAGAAAAGATTCACAATGTCATGTAATACAGACTTTTGTTTTTGTTTTTGGTTAGTTGTGAGGCTTGAACTCTGGGCTTGGGTGTTGTCCCTCAGCTCTTCAGCTCAAGGCCAGTGCTCTACCACTTGAGCCACAGCGCCACTTCCGGTTTTCTGGTGGTTTACTGGAGATAAGAGTCTCATGGCCTTTCCTGCCCGGGCTGGCTTTGAATTGTGATCCTCAGATCTCAGCCTCCTGAGTAACTAGGATTACAGGCATGAGCCACCGGTGCCCGGCTGATTTTTGGTTTTTTGTCGGTCACGGGGTTTGAACTCTGGGCTTTCAGCTCTTCAGCTCAAGGCTAGTGCTCTACCACTTGAGCCACAGCACCACTTTCAGTTTTCTGGTGGTTAATTGGAGATAAGAGGCTCATGATGGCCAGGTGCTGGTGGCTCACACCTGTAATCCTAGCTACTCAGGAGGCTGAGATCTGAGGATCACAGTTCAAAACCAGCCAGGGTAGGAAAGTCCATGAGACTCTCATTTACAATAAGCAGCAGAAAACTGGAAGTGACACTGTGGCTCAAGTGATAGAGTGCTTGACTTGAACTGAAAGAGCTAAGGGACAGAGCCCAGGGTGAGTTCAAGCCCCATGACCGGAAAAAAAAAAGTCGTGAACTTTCCTGTCTGTGCTGGCTTTGAACCCTGATCCTCAGATCTCAGCCTCTTGAGTAGCTAGGATTACAGGCGTGAGCCACCAGCACCTGGCAGGATCATAGTTTAAAGCTAGCTTTGGCAGGAAAACTCCGTAACTCTTACCTCCATTTAATCACTGCAGAGCCAGAAGTAGAGCTGTGATTCAAGTGGTGTCCGCCACAAAGCTAGAGCTCTCTCCAGCCTGAGTGAAAAATCTAATAGATAGTTTCCAGGCCCTGAGTTCAAGTCCCAATACTCTGTCTCTATCTGTCTGCCTGTCTGTCTTTCTATCTCTGTCTTCTGTTTCTACCTCTGTGTCTGTCTCTCTCTCTTTTCTTTCTCTCTCTCTCACATACACATACACAAACACACAAAAGACCACTTGTTTGGGTAGTTTTTCAGGCATTCCTTCACTCAGTGACTCAACACATGTGCATCAGGAACGTGCTGCTTGCCAGGGACCTAGGTATTCTCAGCAAATCACACCCAGACCTGGGCTCAGGAGTCACTGTGGAGGACAGAAAACAGTAGATACATGTGTAATTATTGTGTCATGCAACAAGAGCGATAATGAAGGGAGCCCAAGATGCATAGCACCACAAAGCATCTTACAGAGGAATTGGGGACTCCTTCCTAGGACAAGGAGGCCTCACTGGCCTTGCAGCCTGATAATCAGATGGACCAAGCATCGAGGACATTGCAAATAAAGGAACCATGTTTTGAAAGTTTGCTAAGAATCCAGGGGAGGCAAGAAGTTCTGCATGGTTGAAGCAGAAACTGCTAGAGGGAGGGGGAGGGGAAAGAGCTGGGGGCGGGGGAACACATGAAAAAACAGAAGCCAGAAGCCAAGTCAGAAATGGAATTTGAAATCATTCTTGAGTCATCAAAAAGTAATATGGGGCTGGGAAGGTGGCTCAGTGGTAGAGTGCTTGCCTTGCATGCATGAGGCCCTGGGTTCGATTCCTCAGCACCACATAAGCAGGAAAAAAAAAAAGCCGGAAGTGGTGCTATGGCTCAAGTGGTAGAGTGCTAGCCTTGAGCTGAAGAGCTGAGGGACAGTGTCTAGGCCCAGAGTTCAGGCCCCATGACAGACAAAAAAAAAAAAAAAGGCTCAAATCTGTAATCCTAGCTATTCAGGGGGCTGAGATCTGGAGAATAGTCATCCAGAACTAGCTCAGAAAAGTTTATGAAACTCTATCTCCAAAATAACTAGTAGAAAAAAGTGGCTGGAGGCATGGCTTAAGGGTTTAGAGTGCTAAGTACACAAGTAAACCAAGCAGGTACAAGCCCCTGAAATCCACTTTGGTACCAGCCAGCAAACACACACACACACACACACACACACACACACACACACACACACACACACACACACACACACACACACACACACACACACACACACACACACACACACAGAAAACAAAAAACTAGGCCAGGCAAGATGGCTCACACCTATAATCCTGTCTACTCTGAAGGCTGATGTCTGATGACTGAAATTCAAAAGCAGCCAAAGCAGGAAAGTCCATGAGATTCTTATCTCCAATTAACCTCCAAAAAAAACTGGAAGTGGAGCTGTGGCTTAAGTAGTAGAGTACTAGCTTTGATCAGATAAAGCTCGTGAATAGGCTCAGGCCCAGAGTTCAAGGCCTAGGATTGGTAATAAAACAAACAAACAAAACCTAGTGTGGCCCAATGCCCACGCCACATCTATAATCCTACTTACTCAAAGAAGTGGATATTGGCAATTGAAGTTCAGGACATTATCTTGCTGGTAGCTGGCGTAGTAGCACACACCTGCCTCCCAGCCATGTGGGAAGCTGAGATGGAGAAGATTCAAGTTACAGACCGGACAGGGCAAAAATATTCACAAGGCCCTTCTTTCAACAAAATAAACTGATTATGGTGGCACAGTCTGTCATCCCAGCTTGGTGGGAAATGTAAATAGAAGGATCCAGGTCTAGACTGGCCAGGGCAAAATGTAAGACCCTATCTTAAAAAATAACCAGAGCAAGGGCTGGGAAGGTGGCTCAGTGGTAGAGCGCTTGCCTTGCATGCATGAGGCCCTGGGTTTGATTCCTCAGCACCACATAAGCAGAAAAAAAAGGCCGGAAGTGGTGCTGTGGCTCAAGTGGTAGAGCGCTCGCCTTGAGCTGAAGAGCTGAGGGACAGTGCCCAGGCCCAGAGTTCAAGCCCCACAACCGCCAAAAATAATAAAATAACCAGAGCAGCAGGGCTGGGACGTTGGCTCAGTGATAGAGTGCTTGCCTCGCATGCATGAAGCCCTGGGTTCGATTCCTCAGCAACACATAAGCAGAAAAAAGCCGGAAGTGGTGCTGTGGCTCAAGCGGTCGGGCTCTAGCTTTGAGCTGAAGAGCTGAGGGACAGCGCCCACAACCAACAACAACAAAAAATAAATAAATAAAATAACTAAAGCAAAAAAGGGCTGAGACAGGACTCAGTGGCAAAGCTCTTCCCTAGCAAGCACAGTCTTGAGTTCAAATTCTGTCTGGGCACCATTTGCTTGCACCTATAATGTTAGCTACTTGGTAGGCTGAGATCCGAAGATCACGGTTCAATGCCAGGAAAAGTTTGTGAGGCTCTTATTTCCAAACCTACTCCCCCTCCCCTTTCCCCCTTCCCTGTGCCAAAAAAAAAGCTAGAAATGGAGCTGTGGCTCAGGTGGTAGAATGCTAGCCTTGAGCAAATGAAGCCCAGAGACAATGTCTAGGCCCTGAGTTCAAGTCCCATGACTGGCACACACACAAAAGAAAAATCACAGTACTGCAAAAAATAAATAAAAGCAGAGCTGGGCTCCTGCAATCCTAGTACTCAGGAGGCTGAAATTTGAGGATTACAGTTTGATTTTAATTTTTTTTTTTTTTTGGTGCCAGTCATGGGGTTTAAATTTAGGGCTTGGGCTGTCCCTGAACTTTTGTACTTAAGGCTAATGCTTGAGCCACAAGTCCACTTCTACCTTTTTTGGTAGTTAATTGGCAATAAGAATCTCACAGGCCTTCCTGCGTGGGTTGCCTTTGAGCCCCAATCCTGTCTCAGCCTCCTGAGTAACTAGGATTACAGGTGTGAGCCGCCGCACCTGGGTCCTTATTTTATTTATTTATTTACTTATTTATTTATTTTTTGGTGCTGATACTGGGGCTTGAACTCCGGACCTCATGATCGCTCTGACTTTTTAGTTCAAAGCTGGCATTCTATCACTTGAGCCACAGCTCTACTTTCAGATTTTTAGTAGTTAATTGGAGATAAGTCTCAGACTTTTCTGTCCAGGCTGGCTTTGAACCTCAATTCTCAGATCTCAGCCTTCTGAGTAACTAGAATTATAAACATGAGTCATCAGAACCCAGCCATCACAGTTATTTTTTATTTTTTTATTTTACCAGTCCTGGGGCTTGAACTCGGCCTGGGCACTGTCCCTGAGCTTCTTTTGCTTAGGCTAGCACTCTACCACTTGAGCTACAGCGCCACTTCCAGCCTTTTCTATTTATGTGGTACTGAGCAATCAAACCCAGGGCTTCATGCATAGTAGGCAAGCACTCTACTACTAAGGCACATTCCCAGCCCCATCACAGTGATTTTTTAAAAATTATTCTTTTTGTAATCTTTTACTTTTTATTGTTATTATGAAGGATATATAGAGGGTTACAGCTACATAAGTCAGGTAATGAGTACATTTCTTTTTTTTTTTTTTTCTTTTTGCTTATGTGGTGCTGAGGAATCGAACCCAGGGCCTCATGAATGCAAGGCAAGCACTCTACCACTGAGCCACCTTCCCAGCCCATCCATCACAGTGATTTTAAAACATTTTCTTCATCTCAAAAAGAAGTTATGAAGCTGGGCATGGCAGGAGTATATACCAGGAGACAGAAAGATCACAGGTTCAAGGCCAGTCTGGGTTGTATAGTGAAATTCTACCACCACCAACAAACAAATAAGAAAAAGAAGAAAGAAGTCTTGTACCTTTAAGCTTGTCACTTCCTAGTCCCATCATTTCCCATTCCTAAACTCCTGATAATCTACTTGCTGTTTCTATAGATTTGCCAATTCCAGATATTACCTTTAAATGTGGTGGCTTCTTTTACTTACCATAATGTTTTCCTGGTTAATCCGCATGGCACTATGCACCCGTACTTTATTCCTTTGTTTTTATTTTTGTTTTACTTATTTAATTTTTAAACTTTTTTTTTTTTTTTTTTTTGGTACTGGGATCGAACCCAGGACATTGCACTTGCTAGGCAAGTGCTTTGCCACTGAGCTACATCCCAGACCTTTATTTATTTATTTATTTATTTATTTATTTTGGGGGTCTGGTCATGGGGCCTGAACTCTGGGCCTGGGCGCTGTCCCTCAGCTCTTCAGCTCAAGGCTAACGCTCTACCACTTGAGCCACAGCACGACTTCCGGCTTTTTTCTTTATGCTTATGTGGTGCTGAGGAATCGAACCCAGGGCCTCATGCATGCAAGGCAAGCGCTCTACCACTGAGCCACCTTCCCAGCCTAGACCTTTATTTTTTTGTGCTGGTACAAAAGCTTGAACTTAGTCACTGGGCACTGTCCCTGAACTTTTTGTTTGAGGCTAGTGCTCTACCACTTTACGCCACATTCCACTTCTGGCTTTTTGATGGTTAATTGGAGATAAGAATCTCATAGACTTTCTTGCCTGGGGCAGGCTTTGAGCCATAATCCTCAGATCTCGGCTTCTTGGAGTAGCTAGGATTACAGGCATAAACTGTAGTACTCAGCCTTTGTTCCTTGACATAGCTGAATAATAGTCCATATTTTGTTTATTATCTGATAGACATTTGGATGTCATTTCATTATAATTTTTATGTGTGTGTGCCAGTTCTGGGCTTGAACTCAGGGCCTGGGCACTGTCCCTGAGCCTTTGTGGTCAAGGCTAGCGCTCTACCACTTGAGCTATAGCTTCATTCCCAGCTTCTTTGTATATTAATTAGAGGTAAGTCTCACAGACTTTCCTGCCTGGTCTTAATTTGAACCGTAAGCCTCAGATCTAAGCTGTTCTTTTTAATTCTAATGAATCAAATAATTAAAAAAAAAATTGGTTGTGGGGCTTGAACTCTAGGCCTGGGCCCTGTTTCTGAGCTCTTCAGCTTAAAGCTAGTGCTCTACCACTTGAGCCACAGTGTCACTTCCGGGTTTTCTGGTAGTTTATTGGAGATAAGAGCCTCACAGACTTTCCTGTCTGGGCTGGCTTTGAACCTCGATCCTCAGATCTGAGCCTCCTGAGTAGCTAGGATTACAGGCATGAGCCACTGGCGCCTGGCTTGAATCAAACAATATTAACATAAAACAGGGAAACAAGGTAGGTGTAGATGAAATAAAATGTGGAAGGCCCCACATTTCTCCTTCTATTTTATTTTATTTTATTGCCAGTCCTGGGGCTTGAACTTGGGGTCTGGGCACTGACCCTGAGTCTCTCTGTGCTCAAGGCTAGCAGTCTACCACTTGAGCCACAGCCCCACTTCCAGCTTTTTTCTGCTTATGTGGCTGAGGAATCGAACCCAGGGCTTCACGCATGCTAGGCAAGCACTCTACCACTAAGCCACATTCCCAACGTGCCCCACCTCCATTTCTCCTTCTATCCTATACTTTATTTTTTTTCCAGAAGCAACCATTGGTGATCATTTGTCCTGAACATTTCTGGTCATATATGTTAGATTTCTTCACCCAACGGGTTAATACACTGTGGGCTCCATAGGGCCTGGCTCTATCCCTCGGGGTAAGGTAGATCCTACGTTTATAAACTCAGTGAACGCTTGGGGAGTATGTGGGTCCTCTAAAGGTACTTTTCCTTATCTAAACATTCACATTCAGGTGTGGATGGGATAGTGAGTGGCTGGGAAGAAGCCAAAATCAACAGCTCCAGCCCTCTACGCTACAACCGCCAGAATGGGGAATTTACAGTTACCAGGGCTGGGCTCTACTACCTGTACTGTCAGGTAAGCCCCATCTGGCTCTATGGACCAAGCCATAACTGCAGGGAAAAGGGTTTGGTTTAGGGGAAGGAAAAAAGGAAAGGGATGAGCTAAAGGCTTGTTTGGGGTTTGTGAAGGAATGGAATCTGGGGTTCTCGGGACATTTACATTGACGGGCCTGTATTCTACCTGCCCTCCTCCCACCCCAGGTGCACTTTGATGAGGGGAAGGCTGTCTACCTGAAGCTGGACTTGCTGGTGGATGATGTGCTGACCCTTCGATGCCTGGAGGAGTTCTCAGCCACCGCAGCCAGTTCCCCGGGGCCCCAGCTGCGCCTCTGCCAGGTGTCTGGGCTGTTGCCTTTGAGGCTAGGATCCTCCCTGCGGATCCGCACTCTTCCCTGGGCCCATCTCAAGGCTGCCCCATTCCTCACCTATTTTGGACTTTTCCAAGTTCACTGAGGAGCCCTGGTTTCCCAGCAGACCTGCAAGGCTCCTCCTCACCTAGCTCTCTGCCCTGTCCTAAGCCACTCCTGAATGCACACCTGCCCCCTGACAGCTGCCAAGGCTTGTTCACGTGTTTCCTGGCCCACATATTCCTAATCTCATACAGTCCTCTTCTCCATCACTAGCTCCCAAAGTCTTGATCTTCCCCCCCCTTTTTCTTTTTCTTTCTCTTCTTTTTTCTTTCTCTCTCTTTCTTTTTTCTTTTTTGCCAGTTGGGGCTTGAACTCAGAGCCTGAGCACTGTCCCTGTGCTTCTTTTGCTCAAGGCTAGCACTCTACCACTTAAGACACAACGCCACTTCTGGCTTTTTTTTTTTTTTTTCTGTGTATGTGGTACTGAGGAATCGAACCCAGGGCTTCATGCATGCTAGGCAAGCACTCTACCACTAAGCCACATTCCCAGCCCAAGCCTTGATCTTTCCATGCCTCCATTTATCCCTTGACTCTACCTGGCCCCCAACTCCCCAGGATACTGTCTACTGACCCTGTGGGGGCAAGGATGGGTCCAAGAAGACTCATCCAGTCCTTCAGGTACTAAGAGGGGCTGGACCTGGTGGCAGGAAAGCCAAAGAGCCTGGGACTTGGCCAGAAGTGCCCAAAGGGGAGGGGGGCGGGTAAGAGCCCGAGACAAGCTCCTCCCTTGATCATTTCCTGTGGATTTTGAAAACAGATATTATTTTTTATTATTATTGTGACAAAATGTTGAGAAGTGGATATTAAAGAGGATAACTAATGTTTGTTTTTTTCTCTTTATTGGGGACCAGGGTCATGGGAATGGGGTCTGGGCATTGAGAAACACAGAGCTGCTTGCCTTCAAGCAGAGCAGAAAGGCACCCTGCTTAGGAGCAAAGCCAGTCTCCATTGGCTCAAGGTACTGCAGAAGCAGTAGCCTCATTTCCCTAGGAGGCGGACTTCCTCCTGCTGGGGGAATCCCTAGCTGGGAGGAGCCAGCTGGCCCTTCCTCTTGGCACCTGGGGACTTTCAGCAGGTGCTGGCACAGGACCTGGCTGTGAGATGGGGTGGGAGCTGGCTTGGAAGGGGGTTCAGTGTCAGTATATTGGATATTGGGGCCTAGGCACATGGGGCCCTTGGGCTTTTGGGTCCTGGGGAGGTGTCCTGTAATAGTTGGAGGGGTTTGGGACTGCTTTTCTGTCTCTTTGTCCAAAGCCTTATGTAAGAGCTTTTCTTGAGAAACAGGAAGTCCTGCTTGCCAAGTTCAGCATAGGGAGTAGTGCAGGCCTCATTCCAACACGCCCAGTCGGGCCTTAACCCCAGCACCCGTCCAGTTTCTTGTCTTTGGGTCTTCTCCCTACCGACCCTTATGATCCTTTTTACCCCCCGCTTTAACTCCACATTCAAGTCACAATAAGAAAACTTCCTCAGAGCCCTTGCCCATGTCCAAACCCCAAGGTCTCTACCCTCACCTCCCCCCACACCCAACCAACCCTCAACGCTGCTCAGCTTTGCCTCCATCCCTGCTCCTGGCACCATGCCCCATAGCCAGTCAACCTTCCCTCCCTCAACTCTGGGGCCGCCCCTGGGTCCCTGAGCTCTGGCCGCTCTTCCTGGGTGTCACTGGCTGCCCAGTCCTTCTTAGAAAGAATGGCACCAAATTCTCCTGAGACTGGGGACTCCCGATGACACTAGTCTGACAACGGAGTGCCAGGAGCACCGATAGTTCCCCCAGCTTGCTTTTTTCTTTCCTCCATCTTTTTCTTTTTCTTTTTTTAATTCTCAATTTTTTTTTAATTTCTCCCTTGCGTCATACTACCTTCCCTTCCGCACTACTGCCTGTACCCCCGCTCCTTATCACCTCCTTCCCACCCCATTTCAGAGGCCCCAGCTGTTCTTAGGCTTATGATAGCCACATCTCCTTTCTTGCTAGCCCCCAAAGCACCCCCGAGCCACATGGGTGGTCCAGCCCGAGAGCCGGCACTCTCCGTTGCTCTCTGGTTGAGTTGGGGGGCAACTCTGGGGGTGGTAGCCTGTGCCATTGCTTTGCTGACCCAACAAACAGAGCTGCAACACCTAAGGAGGGAGGTGAGCCGGCTACAGAGAAGCAGAGGGCCCTCCCAGAAGGGGGAAGAGTATTTCTGGCATAGCCTCCAGGAACAGGTAAGTGAAGGGAGACAGGGATAGGGGTGGAAGAGGATGAAAGGTGGGCCGGGGAGGGGGGGAGAAGGGGGAGGGGAAGGGGAGGGGAGTCTCTGGCCTCTTTAGGTCTGACCTTCCAGTCTGCAAAATTTCAAGTTGTGTGCAAGCAGAGGTCTGGGTTGGGAAGTCAAGGGAGTGGCCATTCCGGGAAGAGAAATTGTTAAAGATTAATGCTTCTTGTACCTAACAGACCCTGGAGGGCAGCCAGCATCAAGATACAGGGGACTGGGAAAAGCATATAAGATACCTGAGGTGTTCCTAGTGGTAGGGAGGGCTTTCTGGGACCCTTGAACCTTTGTGTTCACTCTGACCCTCTTGTTAGAAGCAGAGCCCTGATGCCCTGGAAGCCTGGGAGGATGGGTGGCGATCTCGGAGAAGGAGAGCAGTATTCACCCATAATCGGAAAAGTGAGCCTTGGAAGGGCAGTAGGGGGGATTGCTAGCTTGAGCCATGGTGAGGGTGGAGAGGGGACACCAGGGCACCCGGAGCAGGTGGACACTGCTGAGACTTCCCCCTTCTCTCCTCAGAGAAGCACTCAGTTCTGCACCTTGTTCCCATTAACATCACCTCCAAGGGTGAGCAATATTTTAAATAATGGCATTGGGGAGGGGCACAAAGTAGGAATTCTGGGGCTGGCAGGTGGGCCCAGGAGACTATCACAAGTGGAAAGGGGAGAGCTGGCTCAGTGTCGGCGAGTGCAAAGAAATCCTGACCAGCCGCCCTCCTCCCCTCCAGAGGACTCTGATGTGACCGAGGTGATGTGGCAACCAGCTCTTTGGCGTGGGAGAGGCCTGGAGGCCCAAGGACATGTTGTCCGAGTGTGGGAAGCTGGAATTTATCTGCTGTATAGCCAGGTAACTCCAGACATACCCTGAGCCTCACCACAGGAGCTTGGAGGCTGACTTTGTGCTCTTCTCCCAAAGCCTGTATGCCCATACTTAGGATTACCAATCTCTCTGTCCATACAAGACCCTTGTTCATTCTCTGGCTCTTATGTCAGGACTCCCAAGGCCTCCCAGAATTGAGCCATACCAACTGGGCTTGCTTTAACATCTCCCTTTCTTGCCAGGTCCTGTTTCATGATGTGACCTTCACCATGGGTCAGGTGGTATCCCTGGAAGGCCAGGGAAGGCAAGAGATTCTTTTCCGATGCATACACAGTATGCCCTCTGACCCTGACCGGGCCTATAATAGCTGCTTCAGCTCTGGTGAGGGCCGTTTGGGCAGTGGAAGAGTGGATATGAGCCAAGGACATGGCTTACTTGGGGTAGTGGCATGGGGAGGTGTAGTAGGGGCTGGAGTCTGGTTCAGAAGCACATGGCAAGAAGAGACAAAACGCCTAGGTCTTTATGGGAAATAGAATAGTCAAGCTCTAACAGGCAGGGGAAAACTAGAGTATGTGGATAGCTATGATTCACTTAACATCTCTTAGCTTAGAAAAGATTAATTAGACTTTGCCAGAGAACCACGCAGACATCCAGGTACAGAGAACAAAGAAAGGTTTATTGCCGGGAAAGAGGGGCTGGCGAGACTCCTTCTCACAAAGGAGGAATGAGAAGAAGTACCAGCTATTGTCTGGGGTGACCTATATAATCTAGGAGGCTTAGGGGGGGCTGAAAAAGGGGAAGACCCTGGTGTGGATGTGTGGGCCAGGGGCTTCATCATGGTGGACTAGGATTTAAGGCTGCTGTTGAAATAGTCGATAAAGGGTCCTGCAACTGCCCAGACCTGAAGGTCACTTCTAAGGGGCTCTTGTTGCCATCCCAAGGTAAGTGCTATCCCAAGGTAAAGGGGGCTGGAAGTTGATTATTTACTGCTTTTACCATATGGGCCTAGTGTTGCCTAGGAAGGGAGCATGCTAAGCTGTGGAGAAGGGAAGGAGTGGACTGAACTATGGGAAGGGACTCATTTTGCTAACAACATCCGTATTCTTTTCTCAGGTGTCTTCCATTTACACCAAGGGGATATTGTCAATGTCAGAATTCCTCGGGCAAAGGCCAAACTTAGCCTCTCTCCACATGGAACCTTTCTAGGGTTTGTGAGACTGTGACTGTGTTAATAAAAGGTGGTTGTGAACTGAGACCAGTGTGGGCACCTCTTTGTGGGTAGACACTGAAGACAGCCAAGAACTGCCTAGACAAAGCACAAGGAACGTGTAGAAACAAAGCCTCTATTTAGGTTTGACTTCATCATTGTGCTCCCTTTTTCTTTCCCACTCTCGCCGTTTGACTGCATAGGTATGAAAGAGATAGAAGATCTTTTTTTCTTTTTTGATTTCCTATCCAGCCCTCAATTCTTGTGTGTCCAGGGGGAGGGGCTGGCGCCCGACCCGTGCCAGGCATTGTCCGGGCCGGGTGGCTCCGCTGGAATGCATCCAGGGCCGCACCGCCATCTAGCGGCAGAGGGGAGGAAATGCCTCCACTTCGCCACACAAGTCCCCAAAGTCTCCCCCCAACTCCCTAAACCACACCTCTCTCCAAGTAGTGTCGGCTTCTTCGCCCCACAAGAAGCCTCAGCCTCACTGAGCCTCTTCAGCTATGGGGGGGGTCCAGTTCCGGTCCCTATCTCCGGAGACCTATCTGTTAAGCATTCGTGTGCAAGGGGTGCCACACGAAGGCGGAACTTCGGTTCCAGTCCCTCCGGGCTGGGACACGACCTGGCCTCGGAGAAATCCTCTCCGGACTGACTGAAACACCTCCCCCAGCGCCCCGCCCCAGGCGCACAGCGCCGCCCCACCGAACCCGGGTATTGGGGCTTCCAGCTCTGCCTCACGAGAGCGGAAGACGACAGAGCTGCGCCCGCAGGGCGTGAGGCGAC